TTAAGCATATAAGTCCCTCATGTCTTCACTTTCTTTGTGTTTTATGGGATAGATTATGCATATACATAAAAGGTAGTGTAGCCCCAGAAAGTAAATGACATTCTCTTAAGAACAATATGTCAGGAAAAAAATTTGATATGAAGACCGATATCCTCCATTTCCATTCTTTTTGTTGTTGTTGTTGTTGTTTGTTTGTTTCTTTGAGACAGAGTCTTACTCAGTTACCCAGGCTGGAGTGCAGTGGCATGATCTCAGCTCACTGCAACTTCTACCTCCCAAGTTCAAGCGATTGTCATGTCTCATCCTCCGGAGTAGCTGGGATTACAGGCACTCACCACCACACCTGTCTACTTTTTGTATTTTTAGTAGAGATGGGGTTTCACCATGTTGCCCAGGCTGGTATCGAACTTGGGAGCTCAAGCAATCTGCCCACGTCAGCTTCCCAAAGTGCTGAGATTACAAGCATGAGCCACCACACTGGGCCCAATATCCTCCATTCTTAAGGCTGTTGTCAAGGTCAGAAGTGTAAGACTAAAAGACTCATTAAAATTCAGCCATCCTGGTCCCCCAGACATATTGTGAAAAATTTTAGTGTGTGTGTGTGTATGTGTCTAAATGTGTGTGCAAACTATATCAGCTGTGTGACCAAAGAACTGAAAAATGGGAATCTAGACTTCTCGTCCTATTGTTGGGATTATAACAGAAGCATTGAACGGATTTCTGGATGCTGCCAAGTGGGCAATTCCTTCAGACACATCAATCAGGATTTGTGGGGAAAAGAAAGAGAGATCAGACTGTTACTGTGTCTATATAGAAATAAGTAGACATAAGAGACTCCATTTGGTTCTGTATCTGAGATGCTGTAAATCTGTGACCCTATCCCCAACCTTGTCCTTGCAAGAGACATGTGCTGTGGTGACTCCAGGTTTAATGGATTTTGGGCTGTGCAGGATGTGCCTTTGTTAAACAAGTGCCTGAAGGCAGCTTGCTGGTTAAAAGTCATCACCATTCTCTTAATCTCAAGTACCCAGGGACACGTACACTGCCAAAGGTCACAGGGACTTCTGCCTAGGAAAGCTAGGTATTGTCCAAGGTTTCTCCCCATGTGATAGTCTGAAATATGGCCTCGTGGGAAGGGAAAGACCTGATCATCCCCCAGTCCGACACCCGTGAAGGGTCTGTGCTGAGGAGGACTAGTACAAGAGGAAAGAAGGCCTTTTGGCAGTTGTTGGCAGTTGAGATAGAGAAAAGCATCTGTCTCCTGCCCATCCCTGGGCAATGGAACATTTCGGTGTAAAACCCGATTGTATGCTCTGTTTACTGAGATAGGAGAAAAGGCAAAAGGTGGGACTTGCTGGCACAATGCTGCTAAAAGGTTTATGGAGATGTTTCCATATGTATATCAAGGCACAGCATTTTCCTTTAAACTTATTCATGTCACAGAGATCTTTATTCATATGTCTTACTGCTGATTTTCTCCCTACAATGATCCCATTATCCTGCCACTCCCTTATCTTTAAGATGGTAAAGATAATTATCAATAAATACTAGGGAACTCCGAGGCCGGTGCCATTGTGGGTCCTCTGTATACCGAGCGCCGGTCCCCTGGGCCCACTTTTTCTTTCTCTATACTTTGTCTCTGTGTCTCCTTTCTTTTCTCAAGTCTCTCGTTCCACCTAACGAGAAATGCCCACAGCTGTGGAGGGGTAGGCCACCCCTTCAAGGATTGAGTGAGTTATAATGTACCCCATGGTTACGGATTCCTTCAGATTTTGGTGCAGATAGCTATGTATGGTATTCCTAACCTTAACACCTAAAATAATGAACCAATGGTAACCTCTTAACAATGTGCACCCATCTTTCCTAGTTCACTTTAATATTTTTGACATGGTATTAAGCAGTTCAAACTATTGTAACTTGTCATACCATAGACTCGGTGGCTTAAACAATAGACATTTATTTCTCACAGTCCTTGTGGCTGGCAAAGTCTGAAATCAGGGTACCAGCATGATTGTCTTTTGGTGAGGCCTCACTTTCGGGCCCATCTTCTTTTTTTTTTTTTTTTTTTTTTTTTTGAGACAGAGTCTCACACTGTCACCCAGGCTGGAGTGCAGTGGTGCGATCTCTGCTCACTGCAAGCTCCACCTCCTGGGTTCAGGCCATTCTCCTGCCTCAGCCTTCCGAGTAGCTGGGACAACAGGCGCCCGCCACCATGATCTGGGCTCATCTTCTTGCTGTGCCCTCACATGGTGAAAAGAGAGAGAGAAAGAGATCGAGAGATATTTTTCATGTCTCTTCTTATAAAAGCACTGATTCCATCAGGAAGTCTCCATCTTCATGACCTCATCTAAACCTCATATCTCCCCCAAAGCTCCTACTTTCAAAAATTATCACATTAGTGGCTAAGGCCTCAGCATATGAATTTTATAGGAACACAATTCAGCCCAATGATGGGTATCATGAGGACTACTTCAAAAATTTACGATTTAATGCTATAAAAATGTGACTTTATACTTTTTAATCATTATATATCTATTATTATATGAGGCAACTAGTTTTCCAAGTTCTCCCTAACCCTATAGAGAGTGTCAGCTTATTCATCATAAAGAGGATAGGGGACAAAGGAAACAATGTCAGTGCCTGCTAAAGAATGTCGGCTAGATCTACAATCAACTAATTTAGAAAGAATTTTCATAATGTGTTATTGAAAAACAAAATACAAATAAAGTATATAATGAGCATTGCTTGTTTACTTGTTTTATGAAATAAAACCAAAAGAAAATAATGAGTGTGTGTTTCCATTTGTTTTTGAATGTGATTATGTGGAATATTATGAAAGAATGAACAGCAGGTTATTAATATTGATTACCTGTTAAGTGTAAGCCAAGTGGTTTAAGCAGAAGGGAAGTAAAGAATAAACAACAGAAAAATAAAAAAGAAATCAATATTTGCATACCAAATTTTGAGGATGTTCATAGGTAGAAACCAAAAGGAACACAAGAAATTAGCAACAAAGACAATGAAGTAATAAAAAGACATTCTTATTCATAATTAGTGAAACAAATCCAGGTTAGAGCACACAACACAGAAACCTGATACTATATGATGGTACCAGGACTATTCCTTTAGCCTCACTTTCAAAGAGGAATCATCATTTCCTCTTGGGAGGAAACAGAATCTGATAACAGGAGATATTGTATAATCCTTATATCTGCATATAAGTATGTGTGATAAGTTGTACAGTTTTAAGTTTACTAATAGTCTTATTCTAAAAAGATTTAAAGTGATTTATCAAAAAGGTATATAATAAAGCAGGACAATTTAACATAAAAATGTAGTAGCAATAAGACAGTGGAAAATTTGAAGAAAGAAATGGATTATGGGTGAGATTAGTGGATAAAATGCATACTATGAGATCTTTTAATGCTTTGTAATGTTAGGTAATAAATTTGATTCTAAACTCTCTGGCATCAAAATTCCCCCATGATAGCTGTGAGGGAAGCCCTGTTGATCAAGTATAGCTGAGTTTATTAATCTTACTGCAATAAGGAAGAACACCACCTTGATAGAGCCTTAGTAGTGTCTCAGAAGGAAAACATTAGGGACAGGTATGTATAGGACTTTTGAAAATGGGGATAGGTAATTTTTAAGATGAGTATTGCATGTGAGACTGCTTTGTACTTGGTTTAGCACTCTCTTTTTGCCACTTTTAAATTCTTAATTTATCTTTGAACTTGTACTTTCTAAGTGAAGTGTAATGAGAGATGAGCACGTTTGTGAGCAGAAAATGTGTGTACAGTGTGTATATCTATCTTCGCTGCCACTCCACTTGCACAGATGTTCATGATGCCCTGTGAGTAAAGAATTCCTGTTGTATTAGTTCGTTTTCATGCTGCTGGTAAAAACATACCCAAAACTGGGAACAAAAAGAGGTTTAATTGGACTTACATTTCCACATGACTGGGGAGGACTCATAATCATGGCAGGAGGTGAAAGGCACTTCTTATATGGCAGTGGCAAGAGAAAAACGAGGAAGAAGCAAAAGCAGAACCCCCTGATAAACCCAACAGATCTTGTGAGACTTATTCACTATCACCCGAATAGCTGGGGAAAGACCAGCCCCCATGATTCAATTACCTCCACCCACGTCCATCCCATAACACGTGGGAATTCTGGGAGATACAATTCAAGTTGAGACTTGAGTGGGGACACAGCCAAACCATATCATTCTGTCCCTGGCCCCTCCAAATCTCACGTCCTCACATTTCAGTTCCAATCAGTACCCCAAAGTCTTAACTCGTTTCAGCGTTAACTGAAAAGTCCACAGTACACAGTCTCATCAGAAACAAGGCAAATCCCTTCCACTTATGAGCCTGTACAATCAAAAGCTAGATAGTTACTTCCTAGGTACAATGTGGGTATGGAAGTACAGGTATTGGGTAAATACAGCCTTTCAAAATGGGAGAAATTGGCCAGAACAAAGGGGTTACAGGGCCCATGCAAGTCCGAAACCCATTGAGGAAGTCAAATCTTAAGGCTCCCAAATGATCTCCTTTGACTCCAGGTTCACCTCCAGGTCATGCTGATGCAAGGGATGGGTTCCCATGGTCTTGGGCAGCTCTGCCCCTGTGGCTTTGCAGAGTGCAGCCTCCCTCCTGGCTGCTTTCACGGACTGGCATGGAGTGTCTGCAGCTTTTCCAGGTGCACAGTGCAAGCTGTCTGTCAATCTACGATTCTGGGTTCTGGAGGACAGTGACCCTCTTCTCACAGCTCTGTTAGGCAGTGCCCCAGCAGGGACTCTGGGTGGGAGTTTTAACCCCACATTTCCCTTTCACATTGCCCTAGCAGAGATTTTCCATGAGGGCCCTGCCCCTGCAGCAAACTTTTGCCTGGGCATCTAGGCATTTTCATACATCTTCTGAACTCTAGTCACAAGTTCCCAAATCTCAATGCTTGACTTCTGTGCACCCATAGGCTCAACACTGTTGTACCCAGTCCGTTTATTCCCCAAAGAAGTCCACCAGAGACTGCAGTCAAAGCCAAGCGGCAAGGATCTTTATTGCAGGTTCGAACCTGGACCCCCGACCGAGTGTCGAGCGAGAGCCCTGAGGAGGGTTAGGAACTGTCTTTTATAGTCAGCAGTAAACAAGTACAGAGTCATAGGGGTCTTTTTGAACGACGCAAGCTTGGGATTGGTTGATATTTGAACAGTGCGAGTTGGCTGTTCTTGATTGGTTCCCGCCATCTCCCGCCATCTGAGCTATTTCAGTTACTCTTCTGACATGTTTATGACCTCTGGCAGGGATTTTCCTAACCGGTTTGTCCCGGCTTCAGTTCCGGGAGCCAACTGTATTGTTCCTCCCACATTTCGCCCTCTCACAGGAAACTGAGGAGTCCAATCTTGGATTCCTAAGGGGTCATTTCTATTTCTTCTGTACCGTGGGGGTCAAGGGGTTGGTACTGAGTGCGGAGGACCATAAGCTGAGTAGTGTCAAACCTTTCTCTGACAAATGTTAATATTTTGTTAACAATACAAGGCCCTATGGTTAATAAGAGTAGGAGGGTTACGAGTGGCCCGATGAAGGGGGCCAGGAGGGAAAGCATGGAGGAGTTCCACCAGTTATTGGCGGCTGAGGCAAACTGTTGTTTCTTCATTTCTAGACTTAGTTTGTGTAGCTGCTGGACCCGGCTTTCTACTAGCCCAGATTCATTTATGTAAAAACAACATTCCTCTTTAAGGAACATGCACGTACCTCCTTTTTCTGCAGTGAGTAGGTCTAAGGCCCTTCTATTTTGTAGAGTTACCTGAGCTAGAGAAGTGAGCTGTCTCTGGAGGGATGCAAGAGATTCAGCTGATGCTTCCATTGCCACGGAAAACTGCTGGAACAGCTTGCTGCTTTCTACTACTGTATGGCCTAAAGCCCCTCCTGCCAACCCGGCTGCTATGAGGGATGTAGTGAGAGAAATCCCAGCGACGAGGGGGAGAAATACTGCTCGCTCATATCTAGGGGTTTCTTCGGAGGTTGTGCCTGTCTAGCCGAGGAATTCGGCAGGGGTCAATAGAGTTAGCCTAGGGACCAGGGTGACGGGGAGACATATCCGTCCACCATCTTGAGGCTGCACAGATAAGTTTTTAAACAGGGTACCATTGCACCAGAAGAATATGCCAGGTGGAGCATGTAGCGGGGCGCTAGGAAAAATGGCGGTGTGGTTACAAAGGCTAGAGTTGCTAGTTGAATAGCAACAGGGAAACGTTTCTTGGCTGGGATTACGATACAAGAGGACATTAGAGACAGGTGATAAGTTCTGAGGGCCTACCGTTTGATTACTAGGCGGGCCAGACAGTGGTATGGCAGTTAATGGCGGTCGCCCTAGGGCTGCACACATAAAGCAAGAGGACAGATCACTTAGGCCTGTAAGATTGGCAATAGCTAACCCCTCCCTCATTAGGGCTAACCTTGAAAAGGGGCGTAGCTCCTGTGACAGTTTTTCTTCCTGTTGGTGGATGTTTCCATGGACTAGGGACTGAACTTGGACTAGGCTACGCCATAGATACAAGTGGCTACTGGGCCAGGTACTGGTTGAAGAATAGTACACCCCTCCATGTTGGGGGGTTGTCCACCGAGAGTCCCAAGGGTCTTTAACTATCCAGGTGTAGGTGCCCGCCCTTTGGTAGAAATTCCACCCGGCTTCCGTCCATTGCCTGACTGAGTGGGTTTTGCAATAGCTATAGGGGCATCCTGCACTCATTCACTTCCAATACTTCTGGCAATTATATTGGGTCTGATCAAACTCAAAACATATGGTGGGCAATGCTGGCTGAGCAATCTGAAACCCTGTAAAGTTCAGTTGAATCGCAGCATTGCACCCTGAGGGGGGGCAGTCCGCGCTGGCCAGCAGTTTTCCTGCCCGGGGAATTTCTCCCGGAAGGGTCTGGTTCTCATAGAGCCAGAACCGCCAGACAAAAGGGTTCACAGCAACATTTGCAGTGAGCAGGGGTAGCAAGGAGGGTAAGTACAAGGTCATAAAGAGAATTAACATAGTTACAGTGGGCTACGGCGCCGATGCAATGCCAGTTTTAGGGGGTTGTCTTTAGATCGATCTATGGTCCAGGCGCCTGGATCCTCTGGCGCTTCTAAGTCTTGCGGTGCCCCCGAGTTCTGTCCGAGGAGGTCTGCAGTCGGGTCTATCAGCTTGACGTGGGAGTGGTGGATCCACGGCACGAGGCCTTCTACCTTGAGAGAGGTGGGGGTGGTCAGGATCACCTGGAATGGTCCTTTCCACCGTGGCTCTAGGTTCTCTTGTCGGTGTCGCTTGACCAGGACCCAGTCTCCTGGCTGATAAGGATGAGGCACCGGTGAGGGTCTGGACTCGTACAATTCTCGCAGCCTAGGCCACACTTCCTCCTGAACCTTCTGTAAAGCTTGCAGGGAAAACGAAAGCTCAGAGACACTTTCAGATCCCAGCTTTAGCAAGTTATCTTTTAAACTGGGAACTATAGGCGGGGCATGGCCAAACATAATCTCATATGGGGTAAGTTTTAATCTATAGGGGGTATTACGGGCCCTAAACAGAGCGTAGGGGAGTAGGATTACCCAATTAGTGCCAGTCTCCATGGTCAATTTAGTCAAGGTCTCTTTCAGAGTCCAATTCATCCTTTCTACCTGTCCTGAACTTTGGGATCGGTAAGCACAATGCAATTTCCAATCAGCCCCAAGGGTGGAAGCCAAGCCCTGACTTACCTTAGCGACAAACGCTGGTCCATTGTCAGACCCTATCTGAGCTGGAAAGCCATACCTGGGGAGAATTTCTTCCAAAATTTTTTTAGCGACAACTTGTGCAGTTTCTCGTTTAGTTGGGAATGCCTCAGTCTAACCTGAAAAGGTATCTATAAAGACCAGTAAGTACCTGTAGCCATATTTACCTGGCTTAACTTCAGTGAAGTCTACTTCCCAGTAGACTCCAGGCCTGGTTCCCCTCGACCTTGCCCCAACTGCTTGGGACTGACTACGGGCATTGTTGAGCAGACAGACTTTACAGTTTGCAGCTGTATTACTGGCCTTCTCAGTCACATGTCTGATTTTAAGCTTGGTGTGTCTGATTAAGTCTAACATTCTTTGGGCCCCTAGGTGCGTGGATCGGTGGATGCGTTCCAGTACCTGTTGTCCTAGCTCCTCGGGCAGGATGAGGTTGTCATGTGTGTCTGTCCACCATCCATTTTGGATACGTTTTAGTGAGAGTTTGTCTATCCACTGTAGGTCTTCTTCTGAGTATTCAGGGTTATAAGGTAGGTCCCTGGGCCCCGGGTCGGGGAGTTGTAGTGCAAGGAGCTGGTTTAAAGCTTTTGCTACGTCTCTGGCAGTGGAATCCGCTAAGTTATTGCCCCTGGTGACTGGGGTGGCTGGTTTCTGGTGTCCTGGGCAATGTACGATAGCTAGTTTCTTTGGCTTCCACAGTGCCGCTAGCAGGTCAAGGATTTCTTCCTTGTTTTTAATGTCCTTTCCTTCTGCTGTAAGCAGCCCCCGCTCCCTGTAGATGGCCCCGTGTATGTGTGCAGTTGCAAAAGCATACCGGCTGTCAGTATAAACTGTCAGCTTGTGAAAGTAAGAGCCTGGATGAGTGCTATGAGTTCGGCTCTTTGGGCTGATGTCCCCGGGGGCAGTGGTTCCGCCCAGATTACCTCGGTCTCTGAGGTTACTGCGGCTCCTGCATATCTTTGTCCGTGGTGAACGAAACTGCCTCCATCAGTGAACCAAACAAGGTCCGCATCTGGCAGAGGGAGGTCCTGCAAATCCTCTCTGACTTCGTGCACCTGGGCTAAGATTTCTGAGCAGTCATGGTGGGGGGCGTCTAGGTCTGGGGTTGGTAGCAGGGACGCGGGGTTCAAGGTTGTCAGAGGCAGGAATCCTGAGGGGATTCAGCAGCAGCCCTTGGTAATGGGTGAGCCGTGCATTGCTGATCCAACAGTCGGGCGGCTGCCTGAGAACCCCTTCAATGGCATGGGGTGTGGTGACCCGTAGCTCTTGCCCCATGACGAGTTTGTCTGCATCCTGCACCATCAGGGCAGTTGCTGCAATGATTCGGAGGCAAGGGGGCCATCCTGCGGCTACTGAGTCTAACTTTTTTGACAAATAAGCGACTGGCCTCCGCCAAGGGCCTAAATGCTGAGTCAATACCGCTTTAGCCACACCCTTACTGTCATCCACGTGTAAGTGGAAGGGCTTGGTTATATCAGGGAGCCCCAGCGCGGGGGCTGATAGCAAGGCAGTTTTGATCTGTTGGAAGGCTAGCTCAGCCTCCTCCGTCCAATTAAAAGGCTGCTGCTCTTTTGTAGCTTGGTACAGGGGCTTGGCCAGCTCTGCAAACCCGGGTATCCATAGTCTACAGAATCCTGCCGACCCCAGGAATTCTCTTACTTGTCTTATTGACCGGGGTCTAGGGACGTGTAGGATTGTTTCTTTCCGGGCACTGGTTAGCCAACATTGCCCCCCCTTTAGCATGTACCCCAGATAGGTTACCTCCGACTTGCAGATCTGGGCCTTTGTCGCCGAGGCTCAGTAGCCAAGCTTCCCTAGGGTTTCCAGAAGGCTCTCGGTTCCCCACACACAGGCTTCTGGGAACTCGGCGGCTATTAAGAGATCATCAACATACTGCAAAAGAGTTATTTCCGAGTGTTGTCGCCTGTACTCACCCAGGTCTTCATGAAGGGCTTCGTCGAACAGAGTCGGCGAGTTCTTGGATCCTTGAGGCAGTCTAGTCCATGTTAGCTGACTGTTTATACCCCTTTCAGGGTCCGTCCATTCGAGTGCAAAGATTTCCTGACTCTTAGGTGCCAGGGGTAAGCTGAAAAATGCATCTTTGAGATCAAGGACAGTGTACCATTGCTTTTCTGGGTTTAAGCTGCTCAAGAGAGTGTATGGGTTAGGTACAGTAGAATGTATGTCCATGGTCCTCTTATTGACTTCTCTTAAATCTTGTACTGGTCTGTAGTCCCTGCTATTAGGTTTTCGGACGGGTAACAAGGGGGTGTTCCATGGTGAGTGGCAGACACGCAGAACTCCCTGGTCTAGGAGCCGGCAGATGTGGGGCGTTATTCCTTCCTTTGCCTCTAGGGGCATCTGATACTGTCGGATCCGCACTGGGTCTGCCCCAGGCTTAAGTTCAACCAGTATGGCAGGGCGGTGTTTTGCTAGTCCTAGGCCCCCAGTTTCTGCCCAAACCTCCGGGTAATGCTGGAGCCAGGAACAGACTTCTTGGTCAGGGGATACCGAATCTTGATGGAGCCTATATTCATCCTCTAGAGTAACAGTGAGGATGGATATAGGTCTGTCTTGGAAGTCCGTTACTTTGGGGCCTCCTGGCTGAAAATGGATTTGGGCCCCCATTTTTGTCAATAGATCTCTCCCCAGCAAGGGGCAGGGGCTCTCAGGGATGACCAAGAAGGAGTGTGACACCTTGCCTGCCCCTAAATTCACAGTCCTCTGGGTTGTCCAGGGGCACTTCTTTACTCCTGTGGCTCCCTGTACCCATGATGAATTCTTAGATAGTTTTCCATAAGGTTTGGTCAGGACTGAATGCTGCGCCCCGGTGTCGACTAAAAATTGGACCGGGGACCCCTCCACTTGCAGAGTTACCCTAGGTTCGGGGAGGGGTTCTGAACCCCGTCTCCCCTAGTCAGAGTCCTGGGTAACTAGTATGGGGGTAGGCTTTTGCAACCTGGAGTCTGGCTGTCTCTTTTTCTTTGGGCAGTCTTTGATCCAGTGACCGTGTTCCTTACAGTGAGCACACTGATCTTTTTCTAGTTTCTGTTTGGGGCCACGTGTCTGTTTTTTCGAGTTATTTCCTGCCTGAGGGAGGGCGGCCACTAGGATCTTAGTCATCTCTTTAGTTGCCTTTATCTGCCTTTCTTCTGGGGCTTCTCGGTTGTTGTACACTTTATTGGCAATGCAGAGGAGGTCCTGGACCTGTTTTCCTTCTAAATCTTCTAGCTTTTGTAGCTTCCTCTTAATATCTGGTGGTGCCTGGTTCACAAAAGACATCACTACTGCTGCCTGGTTCTCGGGTGCCTCGGGGTCCATAGGGGTGAACTGCCTAAAGGCTTCCATTAGTCTTTCTAAATATTCGGTGGGGCTTTCTGTCTTCCCCTGCAATACTGAGTACACTTTAGCTAGATTTGTGGGCTTGCGGGCCGCTGCCCGGAGACCTGCCATTAGAGTCTGGTGATAAATGAGTAGCCGTCCCCTACCTTCTGCCGTGTTGTAGTCCCATCGCGGTCTGGTCAGGGGGAAGGCGGCCTTAACAAGATCAGGATTCGCGGTTGGCTGGCCGTCATCACCAGGAACTAATTTTCTGGCCTCCACCTGTATTCTTTCCCGTTCCTCCGTGGTAAACAGAATCCAGAGGAGCTGCTGACAATCATCCCAAGTGGGCTGGTGGGTAAACATAACACTGTCCAATAGAGATATTAAATCTTTTGAATTATCCGAGAACCTGGCATTTTGAGATTTCCAATTGTACAAATCACTGGTAGAAAAAGGCCAATACTGGAGTCGGGGAAGCCCAGTATCATCAGGGGGTCCTATTTCTCTAAGGGGTAGTGCTACAGTGGAATCAGGGGGCCGCAAGGTTGTCTCACGTTGGACATGTCTGCGCGTTCGTCCCGCCGGTCCCCCCAGGCCGCTTTCGTTTTCCATTTCTGGCGGCGCTGCTGCTGCTTCTGGATTTTCGTGTTCCGTTGGGGGGGGGGCAGCCGGCGGGACTTGGAGGCAAGGACTGGGGTGTGGGTAAGGCGGGGGTTCTGGGGGTTCTAGTGACAAGGGGTCTTGGCTATCGGGTAGCACGGGGCCGGTGGTGCAGAAGGAACCTTTGGCTTCTGCGAGTGCTCTGTGGGCCACGCGACCAATGCCTTACAAGGCTCAGGTGTCTGCACAAAGGGAACTAGCCAAGGCGGGGGATTTTCTACAAGATCCTGCCACACTAAGATGTAAGGAATTTGGTCAGGATGTCCCGAACGTCCTGGCAGGAAGACTTTTGCCTTTACTTTAGCTATAATAGGGAGACAAAAAGTACCCTCCGGGGGCCACCCTACACCGAAGGTGGGCCATTCTGAGTGGCAGAAGGTCACCAACTTTCCTTTCCTAAGTTCTACACCGAGGTCGTGGCCCCTGGCCTTCATGTCTTTAAAATTATTTACGAGGAGGGAGAGCGGCATGCTTTGGGCGCCACCCATCCTTGGGGTTTCTGGAACTAAGAGAAACAAAGATAGAGAGTTGAGAGATTGGTCGGAGACAGAAACAAATTCCGCTGTGCTTTCGTCCAGTGACTCCTGTAAAGTGAAAGTGATTAGCAACCAAATAACACTGAGTAACAGATCGCAAGCGCGTCTCAGGTTGTTAGTCCCCGATCAGAGGCAGACGGGCCAACTGGATACAGAGGCCCCAGATGGGCGCCAGAGGACGTCTCCTACTGGCCCCCTAGGTGGCTGCCCTATAGCGCGTCCGCCAAGACTCTGCCACCCTTAGTACAGTGTCCGCAGGATACAGACAGACAAAGACATAGCCGGCTTACTTACTGAGCAGCGATGATCCGTTGACCCGTGGTCTGGTGGGCTTGGGGGAATCCCAGACGAGCCCCCAGATATTGTACCCAGTCTGTTTATTCCCCAAAGAAGTCCACCAGAGACTGCAGTCAAAGCCAAGCGGCAAGGATCTTTATTGCAGGTTCGAACCTGGACCCCCAACAGAGTGTCGAGCGAGAGCCCTGAGGAGGGTTAGGAACTGTCTTTTATAGTCAGCAGTAAACAAGTACAGAGTCATAGGGGTCTTTTTGAACGACGCAAGCTTGGGATTGGTTGATATTTGAACAGTGCGAGTTGGCTGTTCTTGATTGGTTCCCGCCATCTCCCGCCATCTGAGCTATTTCAGTTACTCTTCTGACATGTTTATGACCTCTGGCAGGGATTTTCCTAACCGGTTTGTCCTGGCTTCAGTTTCGGGAGCCAACTGTATTGTTCCTCCCACAAACACCACCTGAAGCTGCCAAGGCTTGGGGCTTCCACCCTCTGAAGCCACAGCCCAAGCTGCACCTTGGCCCTTTTCAGCCATGGCTGGAGCAGCTGGGACACAGGGCACCAAATCCCTAGGCTGCACACAACACAGGAACCCTGGGCCTGCCCTACAAGACCACTTTTTTCTGCTGGACTTCTGGGCCTGTGATGGGAGGGGCTGCTGTGAAGGTCTCTGCCATGATGTGGAAACATTTCCCCATTGTCTTGGGAATTAACATTAGGTTCCTTGCTACTTATGCAAATTTCTGCAGCCAGCTTGAATTTCGCCTCAAAAAAAAGGTGGGGGGTTTCTTTTCTACTGCATGGTCAGGCTGCACATTTTCTGAATTTTTATGCTCTGTTTTGCTTTTAAAATGGAATGCTTTTAACAGCACCCAATTCAACTTTTGAATGCTTTGCTGCTTAGAAATTTCATCCACCAAATACTGTAAATCATCTCTCTCAAGCTCAAAGTTCCAAAAATCTCTAGGGCAGGGGCAAAATGCTGCTAGTCTCTTTGCTAAAACATAACAAGAGTCACCTTTGCTCCAGTTCCCAACAAGCTTCTCATCTCCATCTGAGACTAGTTCATATCACTATCAGCATTTTTGTCAAAGCGATTCAATAAGTCCCTCGGAGGTTCCAAACTTTCCCACATTTTCCTGTTTTCTGAGCCCTCCAAACTGTTCTAACCTCTGCCTGTTAACCAGTTCCAAAGTCGCTTCTACATTTTCGGATATCTTTTCAGCAACGCCCCACTCTTCTGGTATTAGTTTGTTTTCACACTGCTGATAAAGACATACCCGAAACTGGGAACAAAAAGAGGTTTAATTGGACTTATAGTTCCACATGGCTGGGGAGGCCTCAGAATCATAGCAGGAGGCAAAAGCCACTTTTTACATGGTGGTGGAAAGAGAAAAATGAGGAAGAAGCAAAAGCAGAGATCCCTAATAACCCCATCAGATCTCATGAGACTTATTTATTTACGATCATCAGAACAGCATGGGAAAGACCAGCCCCCATGATTCAATTACCTGTGAATCCACAATGCCTGGAGTTCTGCAAAAAAGCAAGACAAAGCAAGCACATATTGTGTTAGGCCTACAACTGGGTAAGCAGGGATATTGACAGCTTCAATAGGCAACACTTTTCCTCAACCAGAACTTGTTTAAAATGCAGAAGAAGGAAACTGTGTTTCAAAAAACACAAACAATGAAAGAAACCTATATCCATATATGTCTCTCTATATTCACATAGGTTCCATATATAGTTATATCTATAGGCCCATCACATCTATATATCCATCGAATAAATCCATATTCATTCTTCCTCCTATTATTTCTAAGTATCAACCAACCTCTTATGCTAAGAGGGAAAGAGAGGGCAGTACATAGTTCCTTTTGTTTTTTTCAGTTTTCCTTACTCATCAGTAAGCTAAAGGTAGAGAGTATTGGTAGAATGTTTGCTCATGAAAAGTGAAATAAAAATGGTTAGTTTTGTGCAGTATTTTTACTATTCTGGTAAGAACAATGTACAGATGAATGTTTGAGCTGCAAAATATAAATTGTGCATTTTGGTGATTCCGTATAACCGTTAAATGTCTTTAAAACTGGCATTTCACAATGTAAAAGTGAATGGAAAGAATCATGCTAATGACTTAAAAGTTTAATGTTTTAATGAAAAGCATTATTAAATAGCAAATAAAAAATACCATGGCATGTCAAAAGATAGACCATGAAAGAAATAGAAAAATGCTGTATTTAGTAATTTTAATGTCATCTTGTCCTCACTTTTGGAAGAAGGGGCCCCAAATTTCATTTTACACTGAGCTCTGCAAATTATGTATTTGACCCTGGTTTCAGAGCTGTAGTGTGTAGGGAGCTGTCAGAGTTTATGACATGAAAGCTTTGAATTGGTGGTAACATTAAAGTAAGGGTCTCAAAGTATGTCTTGATGAGAAAGCTGTTCATCAGAACTGTCAGAAAAAGCAAGCTGTTAGGCTTGGTACGTGAGCCAGTTTAGTTGGTTCTTAGTTCTATTTTTCTGGTACACGTATTTCCCGAAGCAAGCAGCTAAGGTATTTTTTACTGTTCTCATTATTGATGAACATAAGGATAGAAAACATATTGCTTTTAATTCCTAATGATAATTTAGAGGGAAACGAAAAATTATGTGTTTTGCAGTGAGCATCCACAAAACAAAAATTTCTCTTTTGTGAATGTCTACTTTTACCCAGCAATAGTAACTGGAACACATGTACTCTCCATTTGTTTTTTCTGAAACCAGATCATATTCAATCATAAGCCATCTGTAAATGTTGGGGGCATTTTTTCAGTATAGTATTAGAGGACTCAACTTAGAGTGAGCTGAAAGATAGAGGAAAGGTGTAGAAAACATATGTAGGCTGCCTTTCTAACAGTGAGAAGATAGATGGAAGCTAAATATTGGGGAGAAGGAAATAATCATTGAAAGAGACGATTTCTAACAACCTAGGCTGTGGTATTCAGTGGGTCTTCTCATCGATCCTTTACTTTCTAACGGTAAAGGAAATGTAAAAGGACACAATGCAATATAGTCTTTTCGGCACTATTTTTAAGTTTATTAATAGATGCTCAAGAGAAATGCTTCTTTGAATTTTCTACTGCTGTCGTGGAAAACATTGTGTCAATCATTATATGTGTTTCTTTATACCAATATGAAATGTTTTCTTGATTATTACTGGAATCAGAAACTTTCTGAAGGCCTTAAGGCCCAGAAGTTTATTTTATATTTATGCGTGCCATTAATTGTGCTCTACATTCATTGGGGAAAAATACCCGAAAGATGTTCCTATTGAAAAGATGACAATTTTAATTACTTTTTATATGTGATGTTTATGAAGTTACAGTAAACACATATTTCTTACTCCTATTAATAATTGGGCATTTTCTAGGGTTAAACTAGAACAGAGAGTGAATCAGTCTTACAGAAAATCAGACAGTGGCAGACAAACTCAGTTATGCAAATTAGCCAAATATGTGAAGAACTAAAAGAGATTATACAGTGTTTACATAAAATTATGCACTAGAGCTGTATATATAATTAAAGAGATTACTTCAATATAGATGAGTGCATGTGATCTTCCTTTTGATTATCTCTGCATGAAATTTTTCTAAAAATCCCTGTTTTATTGAGAAACATGAAGAATTTTATACCACACATGTTAGTTCTTTACATACTAGTGATTATACAAATAGCAAAGGAGAAAAATTGTGGTCAAATATTTCTCCCATAAATAATCACTGAATTCTGTTACATTATTATTCATGCTTCTTGTGTCCTCTGTCTTTATTTTTTTAAAATAAGCAGATACATGCAGTAGAATGAATATGTGTGTATATTTATGTGTATGTTTGTACATGTGTATATATACACAGATACATACATACATACATATATGTGTCCATATTGCACGGATATACAACCGGTTATTCAAGCAATATTCTCTATTGACATTACTTTGGTTTTCATTTTGCTCTGAAAACATGATACCACATTAATTAATTTTATGTTGATTTCTTTCTTCTCACATTATTGAAATTTTATCTTCAAAGTAAATTCTTCTGTGCTAGGGTCAAATTAAGTCTCTATATGCAATTCAACACCAAATGTTTTGTGATAATTTTGCTGTTTTGCCACAATTCAGATTAAACAACAAATGTTAAAATTAGACTTACAAGTAATTCACATAATGGAATTGAAGGAGTGAAGACCCAAACAATTATCCTTGAAATTTAACAGAAGATATTTAAGAAGTTTAAAAATAGAAAAAGATATAAATAAGTAACTTAAAAAAAAAAA